ACTTTTTAATAGCATTTTTAATTTGCAGGGGGTCTTGAAATTAACCTTCAACCCAGATACCAGCCCACTGAAAAGGATAACGTGTCCTTGCAGTGCACTGCAGACAAACTTACTTTTGAAAACCTAACCTGGTATAAACTGAGTCCTCGCATCACACAGAGACCCTTTGGCGGATTGCCGATGCCTGTGTGCAAAAACTCGGATGATCTTCTTAGGCTGAACGCCACGATTTCTAACACCAATGGTGAAAATGTTACCGTAGAGCTCTTGCTTCGTAACATTTCTCTTCACGATCGGGGGGATTACATTTGTATAGCCCAGGACAAAAAGACTAAAACGCAACACTGTGTTGTCAAGCACTTCACCGTTCAAGGTATGAACCCACTTTCATATACTAACGTAGATGGGTACATGCACAGACTATGGCTAGCTGGAAACAAAGATTGCAATGGTAGAAATCATCAAGTGCTGTATCACCTAGCGTGTTACCAATTTAAAGGTGTGCTTACTAGGAGAAGGGATTTGAGCAGTTGCTAATAATGAGACTGCATTTATGTATTGGCTGTTGTCAAGTGCATGAGGCCAGGTCCAGGCAAAATGTGGTTTTTGTGTTGATGAACTGGCTGCACGCTTAGCTTGAAATAAGCTATGCAATTTAAGCTACTCAAAATGCATAGTTTATTTTGAGTTAATTTCGAAATAGCTTATTTTGTAATTTGGTGCTGTCTACACAGTGCCAAATTTCAAAATAAAACACTATTCCAAAACATCCCTTACTCCTCATGGAACAAGGTTTACAGGGATGTCAGAATAGTGTGCCCATTATTTCAGAAGCTATTTTGAAATAACAGGCGCACTGTCAAGATGCGGAAAATGCTATTTTGGGATACTGAAAGTATCCCGAAATAGTGCCACTGTCTAGAAGCAACCTTAGTGTTCCATTATTGACAGTGAAAGAACAGCAAAAGAAGGGTTAATAGTCCTGGTGTGGAAAAGCAGAGAACAGTGGTTGACAGGAAAATAAAGTCTCTTTATAGATGTGCACAAACAGTGGGACAAATTGATAGCTTTGTGGGTTTGCCTTGCAAAACACTCACATCTATGATCTGTTTACAATTGTTTCTTAAGGTTCAGAACATTGTGTGACTGAATCTTTGGGTTTGAGCCTGTGGTCCTGATTTTAAATGGTCATAAATGCAGGGCAGCATTTCAGCACAAACAACGCCAGTCACTGGCTTTTGATGCAAACATAAGTGATCTTGCATAGAGGCTCATAGACTCATAGACTTTAAGGTCAGAAGGGACCATTATGATCATCTAGTCTGACCCCCTGCACAGTGCAGGCCACAGAATCTCGCCCACCCCTCTTAGAATAATCCTCTCACCTATGTCTCAGATATTGAAGCCTTCCAATACTTTGAAGGCCCCAACATGCAGAGAGTCCTTCAGCTGTGATCTGTGCCCAATGCTACAGAGGAAGGCGAAAAACCTCCAGGGCCTCTGCCAATCTACCCTGGAGGAAAATTCCTTCCTGACCCCAAATATGGCGATCAGCTAAACCCTGAGCATGTGGGCAAGACTCACCAGCCAGATACCCAGAAAGTTCCCTATAGCAACTCCTATCATCCCTCCATTGACCTATTTCCAACTGGAAATGAATGGTCAATTAGTTACCAAGATCATGTTATTTCATCCAACCATCCCCTTATCATAGAATCAGAACTGGAAGAGACCTCAGAAGGTTGTCAAGTCCAGCCCTCCGCTCTAGGCAGGACCAATCCCATCTAAATCAACCCGGCCAGGGCTTTGTCAAGCCGAGACTTAAACACCTCTAGGGATGGAGACTCCACTACTTCCCTAGGTAACCCATTCCAATGCTTCACTACCCTTAAAGTCCTGGTTGTTTTGGCAACTTAGACCCTAATTCAGGAAAATACTTAAGCACAAGCTTATGGGCTATCCTGAAATATAGATGCTTTCCTGAACCAGAACCTAAAACACTAGCAATATCACCCTTCTTGAAGTGAGATTAGAGATGGAGATGTGAGGGGAGGCAATTTCTGGCTAATTTCCTCTTCTCTATCAGTTTTGATGTCTGAAAATCATAAAACCAGACTCAAGTAAAAGACAAATGACTTTTCCTTTTAATGCTTTCTTACCTATTGTTCTTGCCTCATGTGCCATGGAAGATTAAATACAGTCTCCCTCTGAAGGCCATGGTTGGTGCTATTGTAGGAAGGCCATGAGACCCAAACTTGTAGAGTGGCAGGGAGTGCTGAGGCATCACAAAAATGAATGTGCTTGGCAACTCTCAATAACTTCATTTTCATGCAAACAGAGCCTGTGGCACCCACGTTGGTAGAGAGGCTGGAGAATCAAACAGAAAACATTGGTGAAACCATAGAAGTATCATGCCCAGCAAATGGAATTCCTCCTCCATACATCACATGGTATAAGAACAATGAAACCCTTGTTGAAGACTCAGGTGAGTAGCTGCCCCTTCAGTATGACTTATTTCTCTTGCTGTGTGTTTTACACAGGGCACACCACTGATTTCAGTGGGGAGTTCAAGTGTGGATTGGGGGTAGATTGTGATCCTGCTTGTATTTATATAATGTGTAAGGGGTGTATATGCAAAAATATTGCTAAAATAATTGTGACTATTGAAATCTTAACAGCCAAAGGCAACACAGATAGCAGGATTAAGAACAGTTCCTTTTTGCAGGTATTGTTTTGAAAGATGGGAACAAAACTCTAACCATACGCAGGGTAAGGAAAGAAGATGGAGGTCTCTACACTTGTCTTGCCTGCAATGTCCTCGGATGCAAAAAAGCAATAACTTTTTTTGTAGTAGAAGGTCAGTGCAGATTTGCTTCTTCTATTCATTTGTGCTTGATAACTGCGAAAAAGGAGGCCTATGCATCATGTCTTGGTCAAAATTTTGAAAATGTACTAGCAGTGCCTTTGCTGAAAGTTTCATTATGCCAAAGTGAATCAGATTCATTTATTGATAAGGCTCCTCATCAAGCTTGAAATGGAGGAGGTTGCACCACACTGGCAGCCCAGTTTGTTTATTGAGGCTGATACCTTGTTCTCCAGAATCGCAGCTTTCATTAAACAAAATAAGTCCGTCGCTGGCCATTATGGTGGCAAAGAAAACCCTGAAAACATAGAGCGAGGGCAAATCAGTGCAATAATATTTGCCTCTGAGTCTGCGGAGAGTCTGGCACACCACAGTACCTAGTAATGCTGAGGATACCTAGCAATGCTGACATTTAAATAATTTCACTGCTGTCAAGGCATCTAAGAAAGGAGAGGCAAGGAGGAAGGTCCCTGCACAATCCCCAGTCAATGGTGTCCCATTTTGGTTGCATGAATAGATGGCACTTGCTAATATCATCCTATTTCCCCTCCCCTTACCTGTTCCATGGAAATAAATAGAAAAAAAGAGAAAAGCCTTGAGGGCCTCTAAGCCCCACCAATGGGGTTTCAGTGTACAGAGTTCAGGAGGCATCAAAGTTTCACATCCATCCAGCATTCACTACCCTGCTGGTGGGTATGTGGCCAAGCAGCTTCCTCCCTGTCTCTAATGGCTGCTGCTCCTCCCTCTAACAGAAATTGTCTGCAGATTCATTGCCATGCTCACATTGGCATCATGTTTTCAAACACATCTATGCAACCATTAGGGCTAAAAACACCTACGAGTTAAGTTGTGGTGGGAGAGGACCCCTGTTTCTCTTCCCACTCTGAAACCTTGTTCATAATCTTTTGACTTAGTAAAACCCATGAGCAGGCACTTACTTTAGGCATTTGCTTAAGGCAGTGAAGTCAATGGGACCTAGCCATGTGCTTGAAGTTATGTGCATGTTTACATGCTTTGACAAATAGGTATGGACTTAAACACGTTTAAAAAATAAGCACACGAGAGTTCATTGCTGAACCAGGGACACACTGGTGGTTTTAGTGCCTGGAATGAAGCTACACCCTGGCAGTTAGTGTTTGTTCCAATATCATCATGCCACATCTGACTACCTGGTGTGAAAATAAAACCCTAAGAAGTGGCCAAAATATTTTGTGACAAAACAAAACTGCTTTTCACTTTCCATCAACAATAGGACCTGCCAATTAAAAGCATTGATCAGAATCTCCTTGCCTTTGGTATTAGTATGTTACCTACATATATATGTATTTCAAAATAGTCATTAAATACTTCTGAAATCTCTGTTTCATAAATCAGGGTGATTAGCCCATCTGTTACATTGAGCTATTGAAAGCTATGGCCAGTTATTCTTGAGTTCTCATTAAGTTATAGGCAATGTATTTTTGTTGGCTGAAAATTGTCTGTAAATAAGCATAATGTAAATACCTGCTTTCAGCTGATCTAATGACTGTGTTTGTTCAGGTTATGATCAAGCAGGTCTGTGTAAACTGGAAACACATTTGAGACATTGTTTCATATTAAGGAAGTCATGATGCAGCTCATCGTGGGCCATATAATGGAGAAAAACAGTGGGCCATTGTGTGGGAGAACCTCTGTGATGCAAGGGCAGATATGTACAGGAACAGACTCTGAGAAATGGGGTTGGGGCAGAAAGAAATTCCATTGATGCTTATTATCAAATAGTCACCTGGCACCTTGCTTACAGCTTAAATCTGGAATAAGGATTCCATTACATAAATATATTGTCTCAGGACCGCAAGAACATCAAACAATCCATATGTTCATCTCAGTTAAATAAGTTAAAAAATTATTGAGCTGTTATTTCATAATACAGGGGATCATTCTTGCAACATTTTGTTTCCTATATAGTGTAATCACATTTCTCTTTGCACAAGAAAGAGTTATTCATTTTTGGGCGATCAACATTCATCTAGTTTTTGTGTGTTCAAAAACAGCAGTTTTCTTTAAATTATAGGATTTTGCCTCTTATTTTGTAATTGCTTAGGGCCAATTCTTTCCCTCCATTATGCACATTCAGCCACACAGAAAGAAAGTTGTCTTCAACATTGCATGGGTGTAATTAAGGGCAAAATTTGGCCACAAGAGTCTTACTAATCCTTGCTGCCATTTCATTGTGCACTAATTTGTAGGAATCAGAAAGCTTATGAGAAAACAATGGATCAAATCCTGTGCTGACCTATCTGATGCAAAATTCCATTCCTCATTGTTTTGAGTGAGGTTGCATGGTGTGTGTAATTCAGCATGGAACTTGAGTTTATAGTCCAACCTATAAGAAATGCCTGTTGTCTTAGCTGTCTTGCTACATGTGGCACTTTTAAAATGAACCTTTGGAACAAGGACCTCTATGAAGTACTTAAACTGATGACCTGAATCAATAAGCATTCAACTATCAATTAAATATTCATTTGTTTCTCCCCAGGCGCTGAAGAGAAAATGAACTTGGAGCTCATTATCCTGGTTGGGACTGCAGTGATTGCCATGTTCTTCTGGTTGCTTCTTGTAATCATTCTCCGGACCGTTAAACGGGTAATGAAATCCATTCTTTTACTGTCCCATTGACATTGGTCTTGCATGACAAATGAAAACTGACGACGGCTCTTTTGTGTTGTTTCTTTCCATTGTTCTTAAACCAACAGGCACATTTTTCTCTCAATACCATAACATTCTTGCCTGGAGTTGAGGGTGCAGAAATTTGGTTTAATTGACCAGGCATTTGGAGGAAAAAATGCTTCAATTATCTGTGGTTATGAAAAGTGCAAGTAGTTAATGATGCTCCATGTTCACATTCATAATGATGTACTTGGAGGAAACTATAGACTTGCATTTTTGTGAAATGTTAGAACACAAAAGGAGGAGAAAGAGAAGTTTGTACATGTGACTGTCTCATTCCAGCCAACACGTACCGTGTATGTGACTAGAACTGATATTGTTTTTCAGGCCAGTGAAGGGGAACTAAAGACAGGTTACTTGTCAATTATCATGGATCCTGATGAAGTCCCTATGGATGAGCAGTGTGAACGTCTTCCCTATGATGCCAGCAAGTGGGAGTTTCCCAGAGACAGGCTAAAGCTAGGTGTGCTTTCACTATTTTATATGGGGGCTGAGGAAGGGATACTGTGCAGGTGGAGCCTTGCCAGCACACACAGAATTGCCCCTGGAACTATATTGCACTGTGATAGGAGGTAGTGGGTGCTCCCTCTGTGTTGGCTCAGTCCTTTGGGCCAATGCAGGAGATGGCGAGCCAAACTATTGTTCTTAACATTGGGGGTTGATTTAGTTAATACTTGGCATAGGTTTTTGTCCACTGCTATGACAATAAGTCTAAAGCTGTTCATCTTCCCATACCAGGTAAACCCCTTGGGCGTGGAGCATTTGGCCAAGTCATAGAAGCAGATGCATTTGGAATTGACAAAACTGCTACCTGCAAAACTGTCGCGGTAAAAATGCTTAAAGGTAAAAATGAAGACTAAGATCCTCTTGAAAAAAACATGTGATTTGTATTGCTAGGCTTGTAGCCAGAATCCAACAAAGCATGTCGAGCTATCACAATTTCTGTACCAATGTCCTAGAAGGGTTTAGTTAATAACTCCTGTTTGAATAATGTAACATACATCTAATGGTAAGAAGAGGTTGCTTATTAGAGCTTCTTTATCACACTTTATAGCTGTACCTAGATGTAGATGTTAAATTTGCTTGTACAAGTAATCCTACGCAAGTGTTACTTTCTGCAGTATTTACCCACATACGCTACCTGCAGTGTGAGCTTCCTGTTAAACCCTAAATGATGACTTAGACATTATCGGGGATGGAGGTGGAGAAACAAGCTTATTCCTTTGCAGATTTTAAACTGCTCTTCAGTATTATTGTCAGTGATGTGGCTGTCTTGCCATTAAATACAAAGCTGAGACCCCAGAATCATTCCTCCTGCTCAGGACTCTGGAACAACGGAACAAGCTTCTCTGTGCCCAAAGAATCCATTCCCGGTTTCATATTGTGACTAGTGAATAATGGAAAAGAGTTTTGTCAGTACTTCATGAATAGTCACATAATAAAGGCCCTTCCAATGAAGCTCAATGCTTATGTGCTGTGCTGTCAAGGAGAAGGGACGTAACACCTATGAGAGCGGTCCCCAAGCAAAATAAAGAGGAAAAACCCAACTGCCTACATAAGTTCATGACAGTCACCAAATCTGCCAAATGCAGCCTTCGTTCCCTCCCTCTCATATATTTGCTGCTGACCCCTTCTCTGCCTGTGCAGAGAGCTGGCAAACGATGCAGTGACTGTTCCCATTGATTGGGCAGGAGGCTGTGCTGCCCTGCCCCACCTCCTCCCTTTCACAGGCCAATCTGGTGCCACAGGACAAGTTGTAACCCCATGCACTTAGACATCACTTGGGGTAATTGTTGTACCTCTGAAAACTCAGACTCTATTTAAAATGTTGCACAGCACAAAGGAGGTTCAGTGCAGTAATACTCTGATTGTCTCACCAGTTTGACATTTTACCTTTTTGGTAGTATTCAGGATTTGTTTTAAAATAAAGCAAAACCAACTCTAACTCTACAGCTGTACAGTACTGGAGTGTAGATAGGAAGAAAGTATGTCTTGAATGTCACATGGGAACCCTGGCCAAGGGTAACCTACAAGAGCACTTACTTAATGTGCCAAAACACTAACTAATGTGGCTACCAAAGGGAAACACCTTTCATACTGCTTTGGTGATCAGCTATATAATTTTTTTCTTTACAGAGGGTGCTACACACAGTGAGCACCGGGCACTTATGTCAGAGCTCAAGATCCTCATTCATATTGGTCACCATCTAAATGTTGTCAATTTACTTGGTGCCTGCACAAAACCAGGAGGTAAGTGATTCTTGTTTCTCTAGGGGTATAGAATGTCTTTTCAATGGTTGGAAGCAGTACCAAAAATTGAGTAAGACCATTTCTGATTAGTGGAGAATTGAAGTGCATCATGAACAAGACTTTGATTTTTCCATTATCGTTATTCTAAGGCTGTTCATTATAAGAGTCAGCATGATCCACCAGTTAGATTAGGGGATGGGAAGGTTAGACTTGGATCTGTCAGCTCTGTCACTGATGTGCTGTGTTACCTTGGGGGAATCACTTTACCTTTTGTATCTCAGTTCAGCTCCCCCATCTGTAAAATGGGGTAATAATACTTGCACACCGTTGTTAACAAGCTCTTTTGATCCTTGGATAAAACACACTTTAAGCTCATTTACAATATTAATTTTCTTTCTTGTGTGGACTGTTCTTATTCCTCACATGAAAAACACAAACACGATATAGTTGTCAAAAGGCAGGAAGTAAATATAGTTTATAATTAGAAATAGATCCCAAATAGATTTCTGAAAGTACACAAAATTGTGGGGTTTTGGAATCAGAATCTAGGACCAAATGCCAGAGGTAGCCCCTATCTTTAATGAGCTAAAACGAAACCACAAATTTGTAACAGCCTCTGGAACTCTGGGACAGAGAGTGATTATGAATCTGAATCCAAATTTGGACAATTTACTCTATTTTACTTATAATTTTAACAGATGTTAATCTGACAAATGCAGCATTGTACACTAGTTTTGGAAGACATTTAGAGTAAGTAACTTTGTAATAACTTGCCAAAGATGCTGATTCAGTTGTGAGTTTAATATTAATGCAGTTAGCTGAGAATTTCCTTCATGTAGTTCCATAGCTATTGTACATTTCTGGGAAGAAGAAGAAGTCCATACATCTTTCTAACGGTAGATATTTCTAAAGGACCAGTTATTAATTGTGGGTGCCATAATAAGAAACCCACATTCGACATTTGGATTTTAGATTTCCAAACTTCATATGGCAGAGTAACCCAATTTGAGCATTGGGATACAACATTTAAAAGCAGCTCATTAAAGCACCTCTGTTTGAAAATTAGGTTTTAAGGATCAAATATTTTAAAACACAGAGACTCAGCTCCCTGCACAAAAATGCACAAACAGTTATATGTACATGAATGTAGTTTACTGCAAGTTGTTGGTTGATTGCATAACTGCATGCAACTATCAGTGTAGATGGATATTTGAATTCACAGTGAGCTAATCTGCATGTGTTCTTAGTCACTTGCACATGTAATATAAGCACACAATTTTATACACATTTTTGCATGCAAAATGAGGCCTGTGCTTTTTGAAAATTTTGGCCCAAAATGTTCCCCTATCCAATACGTTACTCAGAAAAAGAGTCTGAACAGATTTTTACTGTCTAAATTTTGGATATTATCTTTAAAACTGTTTTGAAAGATGGTGGAATGGTTTTTAAAAGAATACATATTTTTTAACTGGGCAGACCTAGGAAATAATTGGTTCTTGTTTTATACAGGCCCGCTTATGGTGATTGTGGAATACTGCAAATTTGGAAACTTATCAGCATACTTAAGGAGCAAGAGAAGTGATTTTGTTCCATACAAGGTACACAGTATGCTGTCAGCATTAAAATTAAACATTTTAAAAACACTTTTTAAAAATATTTTGCATGGAAAGCTCAAGAGTTATTGGGAATGTACCTTTGTATTAATACTGATTATGATAATGTTTAGCACTTACAATATAAATTCTATATAGAAAGGCATTATAGGTTGTCCAGTCTAGCCCCAATGCCCATACAATATAGTTAGTTTGTTATTTCAAGCTTTAAATGTGCAAGGAGGAGATGTCTACAGTCTCTCATAGTAGGCTATTCTACAGTTTACTGTATCTTTCCTAATAATCAGCCCATTTTTCCCCCCTTAATTTCAGATTGTTACTCTTAGTCAAACCATCTTAGTCAAACCATCTTATACTACCTTAAATCACCCTGCTTGTTTATACCTTTCTGCAGACTGCTATCATGGCCGCCTTGTTCATTGTATAGCCAGGCTATACATATATAGTGCTTTTTAATTTTTCCTCATAAATCATTTTGTCCAGCCAACCTATGTCATGCTTTTCATCTTCAAAGCTTTCTCCAAAGATTTAACTAGTCCTCACCGCCCTCTTGTGAGATCCCTGTTTTAAGGGTGGAGAAATGGAGCCAGAGAAGTGAAGGCCAGTGTTAAAATCTGGGCACCTGTGTCAGTGATCTGATTTTTCAGAAGAGTCCCTTCTGAAAATCAGCCCACTTCTGGGGGCATCAATATATATGTCTTTAGGTTCAACACTGAACATTTTAGTCTAAGAGACTTATCCAGAGCTCAGAGAGAGCCAGTGTAAAGGGGATTAGAAACTCTGGAGAGGTTGGTCTACAGTTTACTGGTCATTTGTGTCTCTTCCTACATCAGAGCCTCCTTTTACTATATGGCTGTGTCTAGACTGGCCAGTTTTTCCGGAAAATCAGCTGCTTTTCCGGAGAAACTTGCCAGCTGTCTACACTGGCCGCTTGAATTTCCGCAAAAGCACTGACTTCCTACTGTAAGAAATCAGTGCTTCTTGCGGAAATACTGTGTTGCTCCCGTTTGGGCAAAAGTCCTTTTGCGCAATGCTTTTGCGCAAAAGGGCCAGTGTAGACAGCTTAGATTTGTTTTCCGCAAAAAAGCCCCGATCGCAAAAATGGCGATCGGGGCTTTTTTGTGCAAAAGCGTGTCTAGATTGGCACAGACGCTTTTCCACAAAAAGTGTCTGTGCCAATCTAGACGCTCTTTTCCACAAATGCTTTTAACGGAAAACTTTTCCGTTAAAAGCATTTGTGGAAAATCATGCCAGTCTAGATGTAGCCTGACACTTTCCTGAGGGTTGTTCCTTGTGTCCTTGGAGGCAGGGAAGGGAGAGTTTTACTATGGTGAGTGCAGTCTGCTGCTGCATCTGTTGGGAGTTAGGGGATCAATGGGAATCTGTTGTGTCTACTTATGGTTCAGAGAGAGAGGCCGATGAAAACAGGGGATGGGATTTAGGAGGGCTTTGACTTTGGTAGATAAGCTATTGGGGTGGAAAGGCAGCATTGTTTGGCAAGAATACAGGCAGTCCCCGCGTTACATGGATCCGACTTACATCGGATCCCTACTTACAAACGGGGTGAGGCAACCCCGCACTAGCTGCTTCCCTCCAGCAGACCAGGGAGATGCGAAGCTAGCGCCCCCCTCCCCCCCCAGCAGACCAGGGAGACGTGGGGCGGCTTTTCTCAGCAGACACCTCCGCTTGAGAATAAAGGACTGAGGGAAGTGAGGTGTGGGAGAATAAAACTGAGCTCTGGAGAAATGTTTGGCTAGAGTTTCCCCTACAATATGTACCAGTTCTGACTTACATACAAATTCAACTTAAGAACAAACCTACAGTCCCTATCTTGTACGTAACCCGGGGACTGCCTGTATAGCAAAAGTGAAGGAAGAGAGCGTGGCTTTGGAGCAGAGGGAATCTGCCTGGGCTTAGGACAATCTCCAGAGGCATATGGCAGAAGTAGTAAATCAGATGTGAATGGTTTTGTGGGGTGGGAAGGACTTTGCAGCGGGAGAAGAAGCTAAAGAATGAACAGTGACGTGAGCAGTAGAATGGAGGGATCCAATAACAGAGTGAAGGAGAAGTCACATAACATGCAAGTTTAGCAAACTACAGAATGTTGTGAAACCTGCTTATAAGTGCTGCTGATTGACATATGAAATTGTGATGGGGGGGCTGCTGCGCCCTTGTGGAGGGGAGCAGGCTAAATGCCTTCTCTTCCCCTCTGGTGCTCAATGACTTCCCTGATTTATGTACTGTGAAATATCACTTCTGCCTCTGAACATCTCTGTTTATTTTTTTCTTTCCAGACTAAAAATGCCAGATTTAGGCAGGGAAAAGAAAACTATGTGGGTGACATCTCAGCGGACTTGAAGCAACGTTTAGACAGCATCACAAGCAGCCAGAGTTCGACGAGCTCAGGCTTTGTGGAGGAGCGATCACTCAGTGACGTAGAGGAAGAAGAAGGTAGGATTTATGCTCACTTTGGCTGCGTCTAGACTGGCATGATTTTGCGCAAATACTTTTAACGGAAAAGTTTTTCCGTTAAAAGTATTTGTGCAAGAGAGTATCTATACTGGCATGTGCCTTTGCGCAAAAGATTTGCTTTTGTGCAAAAGCATCCAAGCCAGTGTAGACGCTCTCTTGTGCAAGAAAGCTCCAATGGCCATTTTAGCCATAAAAAGGGCTCTAGAGGCGATCCTGGCAATTACAGACCGGTAAGTCTAACTTCAGTACCAGGCAAATTAGTCGAAACAATAGTAAAGAATAAAATTGTGAAGCATGTAGAAGATCATAATTTGTTGGACAAAAGTCAACATGGTTTCTGTAAAGGGAAATCCTGTCTTACTAATCTATTAGGGTATGTCTACACTACCCCGCTAGTTCGAACTAGCGGGGTAATGTAGGCATACCACACTTGCAAATGAAGCCCGGGATTTGAATTTCCCGGGCTTCATTTGCATAAGCGGGGA